TGGCTGACTTAGAAGAATATATACCAGTAAAGAGCAAATTAGTAAGCAGGAAGAGCAGACCATGAAATTCTTCTAAAATGTAGCAGAAAGGGATAAGAATGGGAAAGGGATTAAAGAAAATTTAAGAAATAGATTTAAATGTTCTGACATCAGTTAATAGGATATCTAAAAGAAGAGAAAAAAGAGAAGGAAAGATAAAGTGCTGTTAAGCAGAAAAAAGTATTTTTCAAAATGATAAAAGGAGCACTATAAAATAAGATGTATTAATCATGAACCTTCATGTACCTAACAACATAGCTTTGACATACATAGAGCAAAAACTAATAGAATTTGAAAGAAAACTTTATAAATTCAAAATAATAATAGGAGTTTTCTATACTTCTCCAGAATCTTCAGGTGCTGGACAAAATGTATACACATTTTAAGCAAGGAAAAACTGTGTGAAAATTGTAATAATATATACTGATAAGGAAAGAGGAAAACAAGTCATGTTTGAACACCTCTTATAATTGCAGAAGTCAAACATGACTTACAACAATTTTAATACTATTTTCCCTTTCTTAAATGTGGGTATATTTTTTGGCACTCTTTATAATAAAAAATTACAGCAAAAAAGTCAAATATAAGGATGTAGAAAGTTTGAAAACAATATATATTTATATATCCTTCATATACTTAATATAAATACTTAACATGTTTATACATACTAAATATACTTTCTATATGTGCATATATGCTCATTTATGAACTGAGATATATATATATGTACACCTTACTCAAAGAAAAAATGCATAATTTTTTAAAACACACATATAGCATTCCCCCAAATTGAATTTAAAATAGTCTACAGAAAAGTTGCTGCCCTATGGCCTTACATACTGTCCACAATGCAATAAAATTAGAATTTTACATTCTTCTTTTAACTCTTACATATACAAGAAATTGCAATAAAAATCACAAATTATTAGAAGTGAATTGCAATGACTGCATAAAATGCTAGAAATTTGCAAAAATGGGTGAAGTAGTTTTCAGGGGGACATATTTAATTCTAACTACGTCTAATAGGAAACAAGAGACATTGTAAAGTGAATCCATACTTACTTTTAAAGCTCCTACTCCCCCTTCTAAAAATTAAGAGTGAATTAAACAATGGCATGCCAATAGGAGATAAGAGATGGGGGTCAGGGACTGACTCCACCAAGGTTTGTTGTCTGGCTGTACTAGATGTGTGAAAACTCCTCCAGTGGGGTTAGTTCCTGACCCCTCTTTTGGTATGTGACTAAAGATAAAAACAACAATTGATAAAATGGAATCCAAAATGCAGACTTGATTAGAAACACTAAAATTTGTTTTTTAAGGCAAATAATATAGACAAAATGTTGGCAAGTATAAGTAGAAAAAACAAACAAGACTACACAAATCACAAATGGCTCCCAACAATATCAGGGATGAAGAGATGGGCATAGCAACAAATACCAACCGGAACCCCTGTGTGTTGTATAATTTGAGATTTAATAATCAAGTTTGGGGAGGCAATGCCTGTTGCTAAGGTTGAGGTTTGCTAAAGTTTGTTGTGATTTTGCAGAGAAGAAACTTAAAGAAATTTTTGCTTTTAGAATGAGGAGTGGAAAAGAGATCAAAACTAGAGAATTCAGCTGTTGGATGATTTTTTTTTTTCCTTTTGACTTTGGAATAATCATTTAGTGGTAAGTTTACAATTCTTTGCTGTTGATAGGAACTTCAATTTTGATTCCTCTAGTCAGTTCGTAAACACTACAGAAACCCTGTGGACCAAGGTTGCAGGTGGGCATGAAGCCCGCACTCATTCTTTGCCAGCATTCCTCAGCCTCAGCTGATGTTGATTAACACCAGCCTGAAAGTGAGAAATTGGCCACACAGGGTGTAGCCGGCCATGAACCAGAGGAGGAAGAAATAGGAAATCCAGCAGATAAAGTAAATGAGATAGCCGCATTTTCTGGACAATGTCAACCTACAATAACCTCCATATTTCATTGTTTTCTACATTTTTCATATTGGTTGGATATACAACCAATCTTAAGGCTTACTGCCAGATAACCTTTCAAAAAGATTGTATTCATACTCCTTCCAAGTATTCCCATAGCCTTACAAACACAGGAAATTATTATTTTTAAAAGTTTTTCAATTTAATACGTTTTTAAAAGATGACATTTTATTTTTATTTATTTATTTTTTTCGAGACAGTGTTTCCCTATGTCATCCTAGGTAGAGTGCCATGGCATCACAGCTCACACCAACCTCAAACTCTTGGACCTAAGCGATTCTCTTGCCTCAGTCTCCCAAGTAGCTGGGACCACAGGTGCTGCCATAACCCCCAGCTATTTTTTTTGCAATTGTCCTTGTTGCTTAGCTGGCCTGGGCTGCATTCGAACCCACCAGCCTGGGTGTATGTGGCTGGCACTGTAACCACTGTGCTACAGGCGCCGAGTCAAAAAATGAGATTTTAGAGAGACTCTTTTTTATGAGCTTGATTCATCTACAGAAACAGCTTCGAAATATCAAAGTGTTCTACTTTGAAAACAAAATGTGGAAATCGGAAAGAACCACTCCCACTCCTCCAGGCAAATTATATTTGAGTAATTCATGCAGACAAATGGAACCAGCATAGCACAAACAATGGTGTTCAAAGGTCTCCACTCTGATAATTGTGTTGGCTGGATCCTGAGCAGGGGAACTGAGTATCTTTACCTTGTGCTGTGCACAGCAGCACTGCTGTCATCCCCCAAATCAGGCTGTAGGTAGACAGATGACAGAAGAGCCTCCTGAACACCTGAAGACAGAAAGCAAAGTACAGAAATGGGGGTTTGGATTTGGACAAAGCCAAGGAAGCTTCAGGGAATTTCGAGGTAAGTTTCTACCAGCAGAAACTTTAGTTTTGTGGGAGCAGAACCAGAGGCTATATAGGGAAGAAATAACAGTATGCTCAGGATGTGGGAAGGGAAAAGCAGCAGTGTGGCTCCTTCATGATAGCAATCCCTAGCAATTTGAGGCCTTGCTCCTAAAGCCACCATTGCTAAGAGCAAGGCCTCACAGAGACAGCATCACTAGGGAAAGCCAAGCTAACTTACATAAATATAGAAAAAATAGGGAATACATATGTTAGGCATAGCATTCGCCACCCACAGAATCCATTAAATTAGTATTAAAAATCTAACTTGGTGGGTACCCACTTTCCAGAAACAGTATGTGGTTGCCTTGAATTTCACTGAGGTGGATATTTTTGCAAATGCTGCTCATTTTCTATAAATTGTACCTTTTAAAACCCAGAACTGGCTTTGATTTTTTTGTTTATTATTTTATGTTCATGTCCCTGGACATAAACCTTTGGCCTTCTTATAAACCATGGTGGAATTTAAGGAACTGTTATTCTGGCCATTATCTTGCTATAAAATGAGAAGGCAATTTCTCTTTGCAGTAGCTCCATGGATCCATTCATTTGGTCTACAGGTATGTTCATTCTCAGGGGCATGAGCAAGCAATGTAACTGTTCCCTATATTTTCCCTTGTGTCCTATATTTCTCTATGTTAGAGATATGTAAGAAAGTGTTTTCTATTTTTCTTTCAATAAGATTTATTTTTATTTCATGTTACCATTCCAACTGGATAGAAAAAGGCCAAGCTTAATTTCAATCAATGTTGTATAATCTTTAATTCGGTCTCCCACCACCCCAACAATTGTTCTGAGCTCTGGTATTGCATCTATAATCCTGGGGGCTTACATAATGCCAGCCTGTGGTATGGGGCTACTTATCATTGGTCACGACCATCTATTTACTTGGCATTCACTAAGATGATTTGTGTTCCCTCCAAGTCATCACTTAAAAAGTGAGCTGGTGTTCTCTTGTGTTCTCCCAGCCTGCCCTTAGATTCTGCCTGTGCTGAGTGAAGGGAAAGTCTACAAAGCCCTCTGCCTAAACTCCCACGTATCTGCCCATCTCAGTTTTACCATTCCCTTACCATGATGAACCGGATGCTGCTTCCCAGTCTTTCCCAGGGAAGTGATGCATGGGGACTTCCTTTTCTTGCTTCTCAGCAACTACTGGCAGGTTTTATTTTCCACTCCCCTGAACTCCCCACTTCAGGTAACCAGGCACAGAGCCTTTTTTTCAGGACACAAACTGGTATCTGAGCGTCTACATCAGGCAGTTCTTTGCTCTCCCAGCCTAGAAAATATTTATTTTCCTTAGGGTTAGAAAAGCTTGTTCCTCCATCAGCTTGCTTTCTTCCAATCAACTCTTTCTAGAATGAACATCATATCCTCGGTCTTTCAGCATTCAGTCTTCTGAAACTCAAATGCCTACACTCTTGCTATTGTAAAACTTTGGCTTCCAAAACTAAGAGATCCTTTCTGCTTTTTCTGTCGTGGTATTTCTCCTCTAAGGCAGTGAGTGGGTGCTCGGCTGTCTAAATTGAAAGGCCAGAGGACAAAAATAAACTACTGAAATAAAAAAAAACCACACCAGATACTGCATCAAAAGAATATCCCAAGTTATATTTTATATAAAATAACTAAACTACCAAGGTTATTACTGAACATTTATTGTGTACCAGCCACTGTTCTTAGCACGTGACATAAATTATTTCATCTAATATTTCACTTAATCCTATGAAGGAAGCATTATTATTATCAGCTTTTTCTTCTTTAATAGGGCATTTCAAGGACTTTAATTTTCAAAATGAAGAATATAAGGCATAGAGATGGTAAGTAACTTGGGCAAAGTCCAGAGCTATGAAGTGATAGAGACAGGTTTTAAACCCAGGCAGTCTGACTTCCCATTTCATAACCATTACACCAGCTTGCTTCCTCTATGTATAGAGTATTGTTGATTTTGAAATTTGGATACATCAGTATAGAATTATATTCTTACTGGGCGGTGCCTGTGGCTCAAAGGAGTGGGGCGCTGGCCCCATAGGCCAGAGGTGGCAAGTTCAAACCCAGCCCCGGCCAAAAACTGCAAAAAAAAAAAAAAAAAGAATTATATTCTTACTGCCTATGAGCAAACCACTATTGTGAGGGATTACCCACAGTGCCATGCACAAAGCAGTCTCTGTTTCACTGCCTTGGAAGAGTATGTTGAATTCAGTTTTGAAGATGTAATTTGGGAAATATTTAGCCAGATTTCCACAGAGTCAAGCAATCTCTGAAAGCCACCAAGTAACTATCTAGAAGCTGTATTAGTAATAAAGCCTGTCCCAACCTGATGCCTTACCAGAGTTCTAGGCCCCCATTTCCCACTCCCTGCAGCTCAGCACCTCAAACACACTCTCAAATCTCACGTAACTATGTTGTCCTCTGTGCACACCAAGCTCCACCTCACCATCTCCTTTCAATGGCTTGAAATCACCAAGCTCTTCCTGCTTTAGTTCCTACATACGTGTTTATATATGCTTTCTTTCTGCTTAGAAGACTCTCAGTTAAATGAATAGAATGAATAAATGAATGAATGAAGTTATGAATAACACCAAATTCATCATAATTTTCCCCAAAACAGTTTCTCTTCTTTTATCTCCCAGGTACTCAAGTCATCCTTCACTTCATCCCTCTCCCCAGACACATAGGATTTCAGTGCACAGCATTCCACCTGCAGGAATCCGAATCAACTCCTTCTCAATATTTGCCTTAGCTGAGCCCTTTAGGATATAGTAAGTTCACGGTTAAAGTTTATTTTCCCCAACACTCTAATCTGAATCTTTCAGTTTGCCCTTCAATTTTTCTGAGATTTCGATTGTTTTATGACATTCTTCTTCCTATAGACTTATGAGCAAGGGTTGAGTGAATATTGAAGATCTAAATTTTGAAGATCTAAATATCTCCTCTTTTATTTGCCATAAGCATTTCTCTTTCCTTTTCCTGTCCAGTAGGACCACCCTGATTCTAATATCCTCCCTCCTCCCTCCTCTATGGATTCGTTAATCCTGTTTAATGCACGCCCTTTCCTTCACTTGGGAAATAGCCATGACTTTAACTTAATGAGAGATATATTAAAGAGGAAGAGCCAAACCAGATAGGTATTTCACAAACCTTAATCTCATTATGTCAGCTTAAACTTTCCAGTTTTAACCAATAGGTGTTTCATAAACATTGATATCATTCTATCAGCTTCATTTCTCCTTTAGCAGAAGAAGTCACTAACCAAGTCCCTTCATAGGTAGGACTAGACAATTACCTGATAATCATTGACTGTGGTCTTTCCCCTGGGTATAGCTGTAAGGAGAGGAGTCTTAATTGTCCTGGTCAGAGTCTGTGGTTTGGGATTAAGAAAGTGGTGAACATTGGGACCAGTCTCGCCTCAGCTTTCCTGGGGCCAGCTTATATAGTCCTGGAGGTGGTTGTGCATGTGAGCATCAGAGCTGTCAATCTGGGTGAAGGCCTGGCATTGAGCACCATGCCAGAGATTAACCTACTCTAAAAGGGCACTTCTACAGCATTCACTACACCTGCCAGAGATGGAGAGACTCCCTCACAGTGTTCCTGGTGAATGTTTTGGGATGGATACTCTTGGAGGTAATGACATCTCCCTTTCCTGTGGTCCATCTCCAGTGCTACTCCCTGCCTGAGTGCTTTCTTGTCTTGCTCATGGATTTTATAACTTGATATCCAACCACACCATGAGCATGTCTTCCTTGTGACTTCTCCCCATATCTTCATACATCTAAGATGATTCAACTGTCAGAACACAGCACCTGTTCACCTCGTCCCCTCCTCTCACCCATTCCCACATGCTTGCATTATGTCACCCTCGGTAGAGTGCTGTGACATCCCAGCAAGCTCAAACTCCTGGGCTTATGCGATTCTCTTGCCTCAGCCTCCCGAGTAGCTGGGACTACAGGCACCTGCCACAGCGCCTGGCTGTTTTTTGGTTGCAGTTGTCTTTGTTTAGCAGGCCTGGGCCAGGCTCGAACCCGCCAGCCTCGGTGTATGTGGCCATCGCCCTATTCACTGTGCTATGGGCACCACCAAGACTTTGGTTTTGAGGTGGCTAAAGAAGAACTCAATAATTTTCTCAGTATTATTGAGAGTGTGCCACAATAGAATATCTAATTGTGTAGAAAAGTCAGGAGGGGAAGAAAAAAAGGAAAACAGGTAAAACTCAGGCTCTGCTGCTAGTACCTAACACATTTTGTTTTATTTTCAGTTAAGTCAATTGTGTTGACAGATACAGGCATTCTAGTTCCATGTCATTTTTAAAAGTCATTATGTGCCTCTCTCTCTTTCACATGGGGATATAGGCACTAGCAGAGGCTGTGATGAGGAACACAAAATGGATTAGCTCTCACAGAGGAAAATCTGTGTTTTAAGAGAGGAAGCAGACAAGCAGACACGTCCCAGTCTGCGGACTGGGATCCAGCCATGTTAAACAAAAACACAGGGACTAAGACAAAGGAATCAGGAAGGCTCTGCTCTTTAAAATAGACACATTTTGGTTTTATACAGTTTTTTTCCCTCAAGTCCATACAGAACAACTGAAAGAACTACCAATCTGAAAGCCACGGTATTTCTATTTATGGGGAGTAGACCTGGGCTAAAACATAAATGGAGATAGATGAGTGAGCTAGGGCAAATCACTGTTACCTCTCTGGGACTCAGGAACAAGAATAGTATCAACCTCATGATTAAAAAGACCAAATGAAATTGTATATGTAAAGCTCCTAGAATAAAGATAATACAAATGTCCACTAAAAAAAATGTTGCTGTTATCTCATTAGGTTATTATAAGAACTTAGCATTTAAAGCACTTAGATATAGTAAATGCCAATATTAGCAAAAAGAAAAAAAAATCAAGTCAAGGGCAATCATGAAAATAAAAATGGCCATTTAAAACCCTTGCCAAGCAGAAGACGGTTCACAAATGCCGGGGTCTTACCTGCTAACTGCCCACCTGGTAAAAGCCTTACTGCCCCTATGCATGCCTCTTCCTTTGCAAAACCTTTCTAAGCGCATATCCTGATTGCAACACATGTAGTCACATGGAAAAATTAACCTTTTCTCTTGTTTATTTGTAAAATTAGGTAAGCGTTTCTTGCTGTAAGGATAGTTGTGAAGATTAATAGCAACTACTAGACCCTAGCTCGCAGGCCACCATTCTCCTTTGTTTAGAAAGAGCGAAATCACTGGCTGTGTGGTCTTGCCAACAAACTATATATGAACAAAACTGTCTTGAAATACTAATTGTATTTGGATTTTTATCTAATTATACCAACACAATATATATGAACCTCCCTTTCTTTTTAATCATGTAAACAGATCTCAGAAACAAAATGTCTGTCTTTCTGTCTTCACCCTTCAAAGAATCATGAGCACAGAGCGTTTTGATTGTCTCCAAAGGCCAGAGCTAGGAGGGAGGAAGAGGCTGAGCATCAGCGAGCAAACCAAGGAGCTCTTCAGAGCCCCGTGCATCCCCAGCGCAGTTTTTGGTGCTAACGCGGAGCCAATACTGCGTGTCTCTCTCTCTCTCTCTCTCTCTCTCTCTCTCTCTCTCTCTCTCACACACACACACACACACACCCCTTATTTCTGGGTCAGGTTAAAACAGGTGCTTTTCTACTCTTGGGAGCTGGAACCGGCAAGCCCAGCCGGCCGCCGGAGCAGGGGAGGCGCGTCGGGAGCCCGCATCGGGAGCATCCTTTGCCGGGGACTAGGAGAGAAGAACCGGGGCGCCACGCACCGTAAGCCACCCTTTGGAAGGCACAGTCCGCTTCTCAGGGAGGATAAGGGTGAGAGAAAAGCGCTGCCACCAAGACCACAGACAAATTCCCGACTACACTGCGAGAGCCAGCCCAGCCGAAGCGCCGCGCCTTCCCCGCGCCGCCCAGGGCCGCCGGCTCGGCGTCCACCCTGCTCCCTCCGGCCCTTGCCCGGCCCCACTTACCGGCCTTTCCATCCCTGCTCCTGACCCAGCCTAGCACCACGCTCCTGAAAGCCCCGCTGCTTCTGTCAAGCCTGAGAGGAGGACTTCACCTGCCCCCACCGCGTCGCCCGCCGGGCTGGTGGCCGCCGCCTGGGTCCCACCGCCCCGCCCCGCCCCCGCACGCGCTGCCTAGCGAATCCGAGAAAGGGCGCTGGATGCTGCTCGGACTCATTTTTGTCTATGTTCAGATATTTTTAACTATTCCGAGGCGGTAATTGGAAATGCTGAGAAAGTGTTTGGAACGAAAAATCACTTTTTCCATTTTCCTGTTACCTGGCTGAGAGAGAGGAAATGAGGTGGGGGAGATGAATTATGCAAATAACTGGGTTACCATTTGAAGGAGTGGTAATGCTTTCCAGTTGAATTCAACCAGTGGACACTTAAAAAAAAAAAAAACTTATATTTATTTATTTAATCCGGAATCAAATTATACATTTGAACAATTAATTCTAGAATGAGTTTGTTTTTTATGATGTGATCGGTTGTTTTCTTTACTGAAGAGTTTCCTTCTGCTTGCATTACTGATGCGGTTTCTTTTTATTTCAACAAGTTCCAGAGTTCTTAGCTTTTTAAAAAAAATAAAAAAAAGAAAAAGAAATCAATAAGAAGTGTACCTCCTGGAGCCTTTTCAGCTTTGCCCCCCCAATCCTAAGACAAGGAGCTGGGACTGAGCTTTTATTGTAAGGATGCTCAATCCTCGCAATCAGTCCCTGCCTCCCTCCCTCCTCCCCTTCTCCCTTCCTTCCTTCCTCTCTCTCCCTTCTCCTTTTCCCCTCACTTTATGGAAGTGTGATTGACATTCAAAAAGCTGTAGATGTTTAATGTAAAGTCATGCAGGTCATAATGATGTTTCTGGTGGTCCCACAAGATTTCAATGTTGTACAATAACTAAGAGGATGCCATGAAGGCTATGTTAACCAGTTTGATGAAAACATTTCAAATTGCATATAAAAGCAACACACTGTACCCCATGACTGCATTAATGTACACAGCGATGACTAAAAAAAAAGATTTTAATGTTGTAATTTTACTGTACCTTTTCTATGTTTAAATACACAAATGCTTACCATTGTGCTACAATTGCCTGCGTCATTCAGTAAAGTAAATTGGTATACAGGTTTGGGGCCTGGGAGCAATAGGGTATACCATTTAGGTTTGTGTAAGGACTCTCCATGATGTTTGCACAATGACAAAATGATCTCATGACCGATTTCTCAGAATGCATCACAGTTGTTAAACAACTCATGCCTACATAGAACTTCAAGTTTTATATTCCTGTGGAACCATCATCACAATCTATGCCATAAACATCATAAACATATCTATTCCATACAAAAGTTTACTCCCACCCTCTTTATTATTATTAGTGATAAGAACATTTAGCATAAGATTTACTCTCTCAGCAAATTACTAAGTCTACGTTACGGTATTGGTAAACCAGGCATTATAGTGTATGGTAAAGTTCTAGGACTTACTCAATTTCATAAGTAAAACTTTGTACCCTTTGTCTAATAGCTCCCTTTCTTCCCTCTCTGGCAAGCCCCTTGCAATCACTGTTCTGCTTGACAATCTTACTTGTCATGTAAATGGTATTATATAGTATTCAACCTTCCCAAGTAGCACAGCACAGCATGGTGTGGGCGAAAAAGTGGGTAAGTATGTTAGAAAAGTTCAGAAAGCATCCAGCCCATGTATGTGTCTATTTTTCATGTTGCATGGCTAGATACATTTTGGACAGCCCTGGTATGCCAACATTTAAAAAGGTTTTACAATAAGACTTAAATGCAACAGAAAACTCTGGACATTTTTATTTGCAAGCATAAATTTTTTTTTCAAGATCTTCACATTACTTTTATGAGTTAAATGACCTATGAGTTAAATAAGTGATAACCACAACTGTTACACTCACAGTTAGACATGGACATGAATGTGTAGGCAAGGGAAATATCACCATCAATGAAAAAACTCTGAATTAATAAAGACGGTAACAAGGCCTCCAAATATGGGTTAGCTTAAAAAGTCCAGAAACACTCCTAAATCACTAATAACCAGCTACAAAATTTTGTTAAAAAATAAAGTACTATTAATTATATTGAAGAAATTAAAAGTACCAAGAAATTAACTTAAGCAAAAATGACACAAAATTTTCTGACAAAGGGAAAATTTTTAAGTGTTTCTGGAAGTCATTCAGAAAGACTCAAATAAATGGATAGCATATTTATGGGTGGAGCCAATTACGCTATAAAGATATCAATGTTTCAAAAAATTAATCTATAAAATTAATGGAAGACTAACCAAAATTCCAGCTGTATGTTTTTAGTAACTTAATAAATTTATTCCACGATTGCATGTGCATGTGTGTGGTGTATGTGAGTGTGCAGCCTTTGTGTGTTTTTGAATAGATGTACGAATTTAAAAAATAAAAAAGGGATATCTCTTCCTAATAAATTTTAATTCATAACAAAAAGACCATGATAATAAAAACTCTATGTAGTTATGAGGAAACCTAAAAAAAAAAAAAAAAAAAAAACCAAGGTAACGAAAGTTCTATCTGAAAGAGTTGAAAACAACTCATTGGTGAGGGAAGAACAGATTTTATAGTAGCCAATACTTGACAATCTGGATGGTACAACAGAAATCGAGACTACGTATCAATCCTATACTTAGGCTTAAAGACCTAAACATGAAATAGAAAAATATGAGGATGTTGTTGCAAACTTAGATGAAGTTTGCTTAAATAATATCACAAACTCAAAGGTGTAGGTTAAAAAATTGATGTATATAATAATGTTAAAGTACTAAAGATGTATGTTTCTTAACGATGTAACTGAGAAATTTAATAGAGTGATGCTAAATAGAAAGAAGTAATCAGTATCTAGTAAGTAAAGAATCTGAGATATAAAAAAATTCTGCAAATATGAACAGCAACCTGAAATTACTTTGTGGATAAGACTTTCACAGAAGGGAAAACCTGAATGGCTAATAAATAGATGACTTATTCATAATCAGAAGTAATGCAAACCAAAGCACTCATTCACTTGCTGATGGTGGGAGGTGTCCTGAGTCAGGGAATGATTAGAAACATTCGAAGACATTCATATTAATAGAATCTCATCTGAAACCACTATTTCACAAAACTGGATTGTTTATTTATTTATTTATTTATTTATTTTTGAGACAGAGCCTCAAGCTGAGCCCCTGGGTAGAGTGCCATGGCCTCACTGCTCACAGCAACCTCCAACTCCTGGGCTCAAGCGAGTCTCCTGCCTCAGCCTCCCAAGTAGCTGGGACCACAGGCGCCCACCACAATGCCCGGCTATTTTTTGGTTGCAGCCATTATTGTTGTTTGGCGGGTCCGGGCTGGATTCGAACCCGCCACCTTAGGTGTATGTGGCTGGCACCTTAGCCACTTGAGCCACAGGCGCCAAGCCTGGATTGTATATTTAAACACATCTTTGTTTTCATCCATTTTTAAATGACAATTGCCGCTAAATTATGATAGATGAATGATTTAATTTGGAAGGTTAACTTTTAAATTTGAAGCATACACAATAACAGAAAAAAATTCATATATCTACCAATTACCTGTTGGAGAGAAGAAAGTGGCTTGATCTTCTCTCATGAGGCTGTCCAGCCTGGGGTGTTCACACATATCCTGTGACCTAGAGATACAGTGACATTATCTATCAGATAAGTCACTCACTCACACCATTATGACATTACCATAGATGAATACAGCCCAAACACTCCCCCTCATGGCAGTATGTGGTAAGAGTATGCTTTGAATAAAGAGTGGGAGATTTAGATTTGAATTCTCTTGAGAGATGGAACAAAATATTTTTTCAAATGTTTAGTTCAGCATAAAAATACTCCAAGTACAGAAATTGCATATTATTTCTACTCTGTATAATTTATGACTTGTCCCTTTGAAGAACATATCTACTATACTCCCAAATTTATATCATTGGTCATTATCTTTCATATTCATATATAAAGACAATTAACATATTCACTTAGAATGTAAACTTGGCATTTCAAAATTAGTACATTTAAAATAGAACTCTTTTTTTTTCTGTATGTTTACCCTTTATTCAGAATACAGTGCAACATTACATTCTGATCATTAAATGAACAGACTTGCTGATGTGGTATTGACAAGCAGGACCTGAATTCTGGGAGTGAGTGGTTTTCCAGTTCGGAAGGAGGAGAGAACAGTTAAGTACAAGACTTTCTGTAAGGACTAGAACCACGAGCCACCAAAGGGTTTTAGCTTCAACCCACTGGCTGGAAGGAGTGCCAGTCTGGTCAACCATCCATGATCTTCATCACAGCAAACCAGAATCTCCAATTTTTCAAATTAATTGTAGGTAGAAGAGAATAATTCCAGACTGACTTATAAATTGATCTGGATGACTACTGAAGTGTCCTCTATGAGCTGGCAAAATCTTCAGAGTGACTGTTGGAGGAAGGAGCCTTTCATGTGCTTCCAGTTATTATATAGTGCCAGACCACCTCGTGCTACCCCTCGGAGACCACCTGTACATTTATACAACATGTCTGTCATGGTTCCAGCTGCTACCGTGTTGAGGTCATCTTCTGCACCTCGTGTTTTCTCGATGATAACACCAAATGCACTATAGAGCAAGCCAGAGAACCTAGAGTATTAGCCCAAAGTGCCCCTTGCCTCGTCACCATATTCAAAATCTGTACATTTCTTGGTTTGGACCAGGCCATGTTCTGAGTTTCCTTCAATCCTAGCCGAAGACCATTCACTGCCCCAAATGCAGCCCCTGTCATGCAACATCCTCCAATGGTAAAGAAGGCCAGTTCAAATCTGCCCCGGGTTTTATTAGCTCCAGTTGGTAAAATAAACTCATCTGTGTCCTGCACGAGATATCGTGGATCCACATTTAAATAAGGAGACAGAGGGTTCATGCCAGTTAATGGGACGCCAGCCAAATCCGCGTGCGAGTAACCTGCTCCGCCAGCTCCAAAAAACCCAGCCAAACCTCCTGTAGTTTTGTTGCCGCTGCCCCCGCCGCCTTCCATGATGTCGTAGCAAACTGTCTGCTCTAAAATAGAACTCTTAATTCTCCCTCCAAAGTTTCTTCTCCTTCTAATTTCCATATTTGTAAAAGTTTTCTTCCTTTAATGCCAAAAAGCTTATAATCATCAGGATAATTTTTCCATTTCACTTTTTTCGCACAACAATTCCTTCAGCCAATCATGTCATCTCAAACTCATCCCTAATCCCTCCATCCCCATTGCTACAATTCCAGCGCAGACCACTATCAACTCTTATCTAGACTACTATGTCTCTTTAAAAATCTTATTCGTGACTTCTAAGAAACCTTAACTCCATTCTAGCAAGAACGATCTTTTTCAAATATAAATCAGATCTTTGTGCTCCTATGTTTTAAACAGTTCCATGGATTGATATTGTAGTTAATAAAAAAACCCAATACTTTCCTGCACTTGCGGACTTACCTGACCTGTCTCCTTCCTCCATTTCCAAAGCACTGTTTCAGTTACAGTGGCCTTCTCTTTTTTCTTGAAACACACCAAGCCCTAAACATTCCTTTTTGTCTGGAACACTCTTCACCAAGAATGTCACTCACACCATTTTTCCTGAACTCAGTTAGTACCTGAAGTGTCATCTCCTCAGAAAGACCACCACACAGTCTCTTTCGATCTTACCATTCTATTTTCTACATAGTACTTATTACTGTCTGGCATTTTCTAATTTCCTTTTATCCTTCAATCACCTTTTTTTTTTTTAATTTTTACATATACATGTGATTATTAGGTTTCCACTTTTTGCCTTCAGAGAATTAAAAAGGCTTAAAATTTAACAACAATAACAATGTTTAAGATAATGGTTTTTTTTTTTTTCCTGGTAAGATATAAGCTCCTGAAGGCAGAACACTTATCTCTTGTGGATGTCTCTTTCACACTGAGAACAACACATAGAGATGCAGAGGAACCCAAGAAGTGCTTGTTCCATAAATGAATGCACAGTTAATTACATTAGTCCTGTAAAGTAAGATCGCTTTTACCTCATCATAGATTTGTCAGGTAAGCATTTCTCAGGCTTTCAATCTCAGCCTTTTGTACCACTCAGTTGACCCCCTTCCACCGGTTGTCTGAAGTCCATATGCTCTGTCCTATAAAAATCCGTCCTCCATGAAGAATGTTAAACTAAATTTACCAAAAGCATAGATGGTTATCAATAGCCTATCTTTATAAAAATCCCATGCAAAGTTATTATTTTAACAAGGATACATCCTTGAATTGCAGAACTTACCAAGCATATGGATAAGTTTTTTAAGATGACTCTTTTCAAAACAGATTTTGCCAGAGCGTTTGGAATTTTTAATATATATATAATTGAAACTAGCCCTGTTTTATCTATCTTCTCTATCACAAACAGGTAATAATACAACTTACTTTTTCTTTCTCAACTTAATATAGAGACCGATGGGAACAAATAAAACACACAAAGCGAGTGTACAGACTATAAGTACATAAATAGGAGAAGCAGGGTTACCTGAAAAACATAAATCAGAAACATATTTTTTGTGACTATACTTATTTTATACAGCTACCTTGGTACCATTAATCTGCAAGGCTCTTTTAATTTGTCATTACTTCATTGACATTAAAATTGATACTATATAATTTATATTCTGCTTTATTAAAAATATCTTATGGTATTTGAGTACCTACATGTTCTTCAAAGATTAATATGCATAATATTTAATATTATTGTATCATGCTCAAGAATAAGAAAAAAGATATAACTATTTAAATTTTTATCATAGGAAAATTGTTAAGCAAAATATAAATACTCACTTGACGACTATATTATTAAAATGGAATTTCCAAAGATTTAGCAATAATAGCAAAACACAAATTTCTAATAATAATAAATACCTAAGCAATATGATTTAATAAGGTCTATTTACATTAATTGGGTAAGTATAGTCGTGAGGTACAGATGGAAAAATGGAGCTTCTGTGATGTTAAGAAAATTACCCAAAGATTCACAGTGATTAAATGGAAAAACTGCTTGAAATAATTTTTAGAATATCACCCAGATGATATAAAGAAAAGAAAAGGAAACATAAATATTAAAAAGGAAGAATAAACAAAATTCAAATCTAGATGTTTTAATGGCCCACTAATTGAAGGTTTATTTGTGGATAATACAACATGAGAAAATATTCCAAATTGAAGGAGTCTCAAGATTTAATAAAATCAATAAGTGTCCATCACATTAAAGGATAAAACAAATTAAATATTGCACTAGAATAAAAAGAGAGCATGCTATATTACTAAAGAGAAAATACAAGAAGATCTGTTATCACAATAATCAGATTAACATTAGACTTCTCATCAGGAAAAAATAAATGGTCAACGAAAATGGAGAAATACTCTAGAAGTTCTGAGGGCAGACAGATAGTTAACCCAAAATTATACAACTATCAATCACATGCAAGAACACACAAGTAGGACAGATCCTGTGACCTGTTAACACCATCACCGCAGTCAAAGGGAAATTGCCTATTGTTCTGATTCTACCGCATGGAGTTCAGGACTGTATTCTGGCTGGGTTGTGCTAGTTTGGGGAGGCTGAAAATGATGGAAGGGTAGTCTGTGCTGGCCTGAATACATTGTGTTTTATAATAGTCTCGTCATGTACTATAAATCAGTTTGTCTTTTATTTAGATTATTCAGAGATTATTTAATTCAGAGACTGATACGATGTTCTAAACTGACACAAGATTCTATTTATCTTACGTCTAGACTATATACTGGACTTTTCACCCAGAACTAAGGTAGCTGGATATGTGGAAAAACTGTTAGGATTCCAAGAGATGTGATGCCTCCCTCACACATTCAAACTTTGATTCAATATCATTGATGGCTAATGATGCATTTTGGTTCTTGAACTAATGTGACTAAATTATGGAGAATTTTTTCCCTCACCATTTCTGTGAGTTTATGAAAACCAAAAAATGTAGATTCTGTAAGAGCATGTTAATAAAGTAGAACAGGTCTGCTTACTAAATGCAGATTATTTAATAGTATCACCCCACCTTGACCACAGAATTTTTATGAAAATTATCAACATGTAAGACTGGAAATGGGCACAGTGGCTCCTGCCTGTAAACCCGAGGCCAAAGCAGGCAGACTGCTTGAGCTCATGAGTTTGAGACCACCCAGAGCAAGAGCAAGACCCTGCCTCTACTAAAAAATAGAAAAACTAGCTGAGTGTTGTGGTTGGCACCTATAGTCCCAGCTATGCAGGAGGCTGAATCAGGAGCTTCACTTGAGCCCAAGAGTTTGAAGTTGCTATAAGCTAGGCTGACCCCATGACACTCTAGCCTGGGCAACAGAGTGAGGGTCTTTCTCAAAAAAAAAAAAAAAAAAAAAAAAAACCTATAATAAGCTACTTGCTTTCTCAATGTATATTTTGAAGGAAGAAAATATTTCACTCTATCTCATTACAAAGTCTATGATTTGGAGTGTTGTAATATGAATACCAAGCTCAGTGTGATTAGTATTAGTTACATTATCTAACTGATTTTGTTATTAAGTTGATTTCACAGAAAAAAAACTTATAGCTCTCTTGGGAGATGCTTCTGATTTATTTTTGTATATTTTTTCTATGAACTTCCTATGTGTCTTTTACATAAGTAAATCTTATTTGATTTGCCCAAGTGATGTTTATCAGTCCATACAATTTAATGCTGAAATTTATTACAGTTGTCCTTATGCAGCTTGGTATCTGAAGTGGGACAACCACAAAGACCCCCAACTAATTATGCCTTAAGGTTTCAGTGTAATTAAGAAGATGGAGAGGGAGATGACAATGTCTAATTCATTTTGTCTTGGGAAAACATGTGGGTTAAAAAGTCTTAACAGAAAAGTTAACATTTCAGTAGAACAGGTATATGTTTTTCTTAACTTCCTGAAGCCTAAAAATGTAGCCCACTAACCTGAAAAAGCATCCAGAAATGAAGATCAAAGTATAGAACTTAAAATTCCTTGGATGATCAGGCTCAAACTAAAAGTATGTGATATGTAGAAGAGCAGAGATGAGACCACTACCACTATAAGCTGAATGGTTTAAAGCTCCATGACATGCCAGAAATATGTATACATATATTTTTCTCATACAGAGAACTAAGGTAGCTGGACATGTGGAAAAACTGTTAGGATTCCAAGAGAATACTTTGATGTTTGAGATACTTTCTTTGTGTCTCCTAATAGTTCACCAATATATTCAAGAGCTATAGTCTGTAGCAAGATAGTCACCAAAAGTCTATGCTAGAGGATAAAGGAATTACAGTATTTGAAACCACCCTGATGAATTAGTAAAAGTGTGCAAGGTCAAAACTTAAGTAAGGGCCTCCAAACTCTGTGAAGGAACAGGTTTAGCTAAAATACTGATAATAATCAGCCAGTGTCCCCTCATTTGCTTGATGATAATCACTGTCCCTTTTTTTGTTTCTCTATAATTGCTACTCTAGAGGGGACAGCTGGTAGTTATAAAGATTCTTAACTTTTCTCCACAGAAAACACCAAATGTTTGGAACTTAGGGGTTATTTTTGAGGTGTCTTTCAGGTCCTACATTCCAGTGGATTGACTAACCCACCCAGGCCAAAGAACTGACTCAACTGGCCTTGACCCCCCCCACCAAGGAACTTCACTCCAGTAGATTGGCTAACACACCCAAACAGATGGTTTTGCCCTGAATCCAACCAATTAGCAGATCTTGATTGTCTAACCCTCTACCCACCAAACTGTCTTTAAAACCTCTGCACCCCCAATTATTGGGGAGGTGGGTTTGAGAAATTCCGTTTGTCTCCCCACTTAGCACTATAAGGAATAAGCTTTTTTCTCAGCTATAAACCCTGCTGTCTCTGGGCATTGGCTTCTTCTTGGGCAGCAGGCAGATGCACCTGGTTGGGTGGCAACACATTTGCTGTGAACTATAGATGTGCCACCAATGTCTTATCCCTGCTTGAGTTGGAAGGGGAGAATAAATTATTTTTTGAC